GGGGGGCGGTGGGGACGCCTTGGCTGTTAATCCCCTCCGTACCTCCTTCCGCACCTCGGGGTCCTCCGCGCGCCGGCTCCGCGTCGCGATATCCTTTGGCCTTTTATCCCGATCCGCATGGAGTAGCCATAGAACGTTTGAATAACGCGTCCTGGCTGGCGCTGGTGGGCTGCTGGCCGGGCCCCGCCGGGCCCCTCGGCTGGCCCATGTGTCCTGGTCCCTACCGTCTCCCAGGAGGACACCCCACAGCTCCAGCCTTTTCTTTTTCTGTCCCTCGCCCAGTCGCGCCAACCCTCGGCGAACAGCGTCCCCGGCCGCGGTCCCCTCTGGGCCCCCGGGGCCCGGGCAGCAGGGGCTGACCGGCGAGGTTAACCCTCAAGACTCAAGCTGGCTGACCCCTGCTGCCTCGGGCGGGTCTGTCCGTGTGTGTGTGTGAGGGTGGGTTCTGGGGCGGTGTTTATAGAGTCGTACAAGGGTAAAAAAACAGCACAATTTCATGGCGAGTGGACGAGACGAGTTTTCACCCTGTTTCTTTCGTATGGGTGTTGTTCGTGGCGGTTTTTCTCGCCTGACTCACACTCCTACTGCTGCCGCCGTGCGGTGTACCACAAGACAAGCCCTAATTAGTTTTGTCGGGCAACAACACTGCATGGCGACGGCCAAAGCCTCCCCCCTCTCGTGCCCCAAACACCCATCCGCCCACGCACAACAAACTTGCCAGTGCTCCCTCCCCCCATGACTATCCTCCGCAGCCCCACTTCCCCCCTCCACAGCCTTCTGCTCACGAGCTCGTCAGCAGGCCATTGGGTCCGTCCGCCCCTAGCAGGAAATTAAAAGTGATTGTGACGGGTGTGCCCCACCCTCCTCGCCCCTACTCCTCTCCGCAGTGACGGCGCGCTGGCGGGGCGCTGCCAGAGCGCCCGGGAGGTAGGCAATGCCCACGCCACCACGCATACGTGCGCGCATGCTGCCTACCACCAGGCGCTCACTGGCCATCCACCGGGACACACACTCTCTCTCTCTCTCTCTCTCTCTCTCTCTCTCTCTCTCTCTCTGTCTCTGTCTCTGTCTCTGTCTCTGTCTCCGTCGTGTGGGCTGTGGACCCGATCGTAGTGTAACCAGGCTGGCTCTACACGGCCGCTACTCCTCATTGCATTGCCAGTCAGCCGGTCCACTGCACCCATGTGTGTGTGTGTGTGTGTGTGCGTGTGAGTGGCAGAGAGAGGGGGGCACCACCCCACCCGCACCTCCACCCACAGCTCCCAATCGCCCCGCCCGCTCGCCCATGGGCACACTCCAGCGAGCCGTCCCCGCCGGCTGTCGGCCGCCTGACGCGGGCGCGCTCCGCAACGTGTTTATTTTCAGGGTGCGTCTAGGATCGCGCTATTCCCGGCTATTCCTGTCCCGCCCCCGCCCCGCCCGGCAGCCTCCATCTCGGCCCGCCCGCCTGCCCGTGACGAACTAATTCTCCGGGCGAGCAGCGCCGCCGGGGCGGGGCGGGGCGGGGCGGCAAGGGCCACCCTTATTATGCACAGCCCGCCGGACGGCTGCCCGGTCCGGTCACGTGCTGGAGCCCGAGGGGCAGTGGCGAGGGCTGCCGCCGCCCTGCTGCGGCTGCTGCTGCTGCTGCTGCTGCTGCTGCTGCTGCTGCTGCTGCTGCTGCTGCTGCTGCTGCTGCTGCTGCTGCTGCGTGTCAGAACTCTCCGCTTTATCCCCGTCGTCGTCGGGACGTCCTGTACAGGATTAGTTTATTTTGTCGCTGACGTTGCGCAACCTCGCGGCTATTGGGCTGCGCGTAATGAGATGAAGACTGACGGGGCGCTGCTGCTGCTGCTGATGTCGCGACGCGAGGGTGGGCGGCCGCGCGTCCTCATACACACAGCGAGGAACTACCCGCGCGGGGCAGAGGAGGACGGGGGAGTTGGAGTGGAAGGAGGTGTGGCCGGGGCCGCCCGTGGCACTGCTGCGGGCGGGCGGCACACCGCGCTGCTAGTCGGTCAATTAGGAGTCGCTGGGCTGAGCTGCATCAGACAAGCAGCAGCCAAAGTGAAATTTAATTTGACAGATTAAGTACGGTCTTTTGCCGGAATTATTGCCCGCCGTGGCCCAGGCGAGCCCAGGCGAGCCCAGGCCGGCGGCGGCGCGGCGGCGCGTAGCTGGGATTAAAACCGTCCCCAGTTACGTGGGTCCGGCGCGGCGCGGGGCTGCTGCCGGAGGCCTCGCCGGAGGCCGCGTGAAGGATTAACTAACTTCTTCTTGTCAGGCCCCGCGACGCATCCGTCTTCTTAGCGCCGCCGCGCCCGGCCCAGCGCCCGCGGGGAGGCGAGGGGGACGGCGCGGCCGGCGCGGGGCGCTTTAGATGCGAACTGTCATGACGCGACGGCGTTATAGTTTACTGTTTCCTCTGCACTTTTATTCACTACCGCTGCTTTGGCGGCGGCGCCGCCGCGTTTGGGGGCCTCCTTGGTGAAAAAAGAGCGACTGTGCTCTTCGCCGCGTCAACACAACACGCTCACGCTACTGTCCTGCCGTCGTCCTAACCGAGGCCCTCTTTTGCCCTCAGGTGCTGGCGCTGCTGGTCGCCGTGGCGCTAGCCGCCGCCGGCCGTGCCGACGCGCGCCAGGAGGCGGAGCAGGTGCAGCAGTCCATCCTGTCGGCCTCGGCCGAGAACGACCTGAGGCGCACGCCGATCAACCTGAACCCGTACCTGCGGCGGTCGCTACTGCGCGCACTCTACCACCTGGAGGCCGAGTACCAGCAGCAGCAGGCGCTCGAGGCGGGCCGCGCGCTCACCAACGGCGTGCCCGTCATCGGCGAGTACCACCGCACGGCGCCCGCCGTCCTCAAGGACCCCGCGCTGCGGCGCGCCCTGCTGCGCGTCCTCATCCACCTGGAGGCCGAGGACCTGGACAAGCGGGCGCGCGAGGAGGCGCAGGAGCTGAACGCCAAGGAGCGGCAGGCGCTGCGCGAGCAGCAGGAGGAGAACAACTTCCTGCGCAACTACATGGACGAGAACTTCCCCACCGACAGCCCGCCCGCGCACAACCAGCAGCAGCGCGACATCGCGCACATGGCCGAGTACATCAAGTTCGCCAACGACGTGAACAGCAACCCGCCGGCCGCCGCTGCCGTGGCCGCGCCCGTCAGCGCGCCTAGCGCTCCGCAGGCCAACAACTACCAGCAGCAGCCCGTGGCCACCGCGCAGCCCAGCCAGGACCAGCAGTACAACGGCCACCAGATACCTTACAACATGCAGCAGCAGCAGGAGCAGCAGCAACAGCAGCAACAGCAGCTTCACGACCAGTACAACCAGAACTACAACACAGAGCAGCCGCAACAGCAGCAGCAACAACAACAACAACAGCAGCAGCAGTACAATGAGCCCGAGCTGCAGACGGCTCTGCCCTCGCAGAACTACGACGACACCCGGCTAGCCCTGAACTTCCAGACGGACTACACGACGCTAGACCCGTACCTCAGCAACCACAACCTGAACGCCACCACCGAGCAGCCCATTCAGACCACCACCGACTACTACCAGACGGCCAACCCGACGGACGAGTACCCGTCGACCGTCGCGCCCCCCACCGGCCCCGCCCCGGTGGCGCCCACCGCCCGTCAGGTGGACGGCTTCTTCTTCCAGAGCCCTGACCCTCTCGCGGACGACAACAACAACAGCATCGGCAAGGGCCAGGAGCAGCGCAGCGTCCAGGGCGGCGCCAGCGCCAACACAATCCCCACCGCCGAGACGCCTGCCGACACCACGGTGGCCTTCACGACGCACGACACGACCCTGGACAGCACCACGCCCACCACGCCAAAGCCCACGGCCACCACCGAGGACATCAAGATTTTCCAGGTGAGTTATCATATAGGTGCCACAAAGGGTGCCGCATCTGTTGATCATTTCTATCCACCCTGTTTCTTACACTACTTCGGTCAACATGTAGGTGCTTTATTTTACATTACCTAATGATTGTGCGTGACAAGGTATCTTTCCACTCGATTCTTCATGAAATGTCACTTATGCGTTGTTTTTGTAGGCGCCGCTGCTCGCCGCCTTCACGCTGCACCAGGACGCCCACGGCACCCCGCAGCGCATCGTGCCGCTGTACCGCAAGGCCGCAACGGCCGCCGCCACCGCGCCCGCCAAGCTGGACGACGAGCAGGAGCTCAAGCAGCAGCAGCTGCTGCTGGAGGAGCAGCTGCGCCGACTTCAGGAGCTGCAGGCCAAGCAGCAGCAGCTGCTCAAGCTGCAGCAGTTCCTCACGCAGGAGCAGGAACGTCAGCGCCAGCTGAAGAAGGCTCAGCTCGCCAAGGCCTCTGCTACTGCCCCGGCGCAGCAACAGCAGCAACACCACCACCAACAACAACAACACCAGCAACAACAACACCAGCAACATCAGCAGCAACAACAGCAGCAACACCAGCAGCAACAGCAGCAACAGCAGCAACAGCAGCAACAGCAGCAACAACAGCAGCAACAGCAGCAACAACAAGATCAACATCAGCAACACCACCATCAAATCCAGCAGCAGCCGCATAGTTCACAGAGCAGGGTTACGGTGCCTTCCATAGCGGACTCCACCTTCATCACGCAGCCGCCCACGACAGTGCTTCCGCCGACAGCTCAGCCCACCCTGGTAATTTTAGAATTTAAAAACATCGAAAAATGTTAGAAAATGTTTGTGTTAATTCCCTAATAGCCGCCGAAGTTTTATTGTAAACACCCCATTTTTTTAATAACTCGGAATGGAAGTGGTGCTTTTTAAATTGTATGTGACACAGCTTTATCTCTACAGAAAACAAATGTGTTTGTTTAAAGTCCAACATTTTACACCTAATTAAAACAACGTAAAGTTTGCACCAAGAAAAGTAATCATTAGACCTAGATAGTCGATCTCACAACAAATGAATAGAATTTACTTTGTCTTTTGGGCTGAATTTTATGACTAAATGTTTTTCTAGCTAGTAACTTTGTAACTTCCACAGACTGCCAGAATAGCTCTTTGTGGCTCGTTTGCAGTTGCCCAACCTAGCTAACCCCTGTCTGTTTTCTCTCGTCCAGGTCGCCCAGAGCTCGACGCCCGAGGCCGCCGTGCAGATCCACCACTCGCAGGGCGACACGGAGCGCCAGAAGCAGATCGAGGAGTACGACAAGCAGCGCCAGCTGGAGCTGGAGCGCGCGCGCAAGCAGGCCATCCTGGAGGCGCTGGAGCGCGAGCGCCAGCAGAAGATCATCGAGGCGGAGAACGCGCGCCAGCGCCAGCTGCAGCAGTTCTACGAGGAGCAGCACCGCCTGCGCCTGCAGGAGCTGGAGCGGCAGCGGCTCGCGGCGCTCGATCTCACCTTCCAGCGCAGCGTCGAGTTCAACCCGCAGCAGATCGCGCCCGCCGCCACCTCGCCCGCCGCCGGCCCCGCTCCCGCCGCTCCCGTGGGGCCGGCCCCCGCGGCCGCCTCCGCGCCCCGCGAGCCCTCCGAGGAGCAGCGGCTCACGTACCGCAGCTTCCAGCAGGAGCCGCCCCCACTGCCCGCCAACTTCAACAACAACAACCTGTTCAACAACAACGTGTTGTTCCCGCCGCAGCAGCAGCCGCCCAACAACGGCTTCCAGCAGAACTTCCAGCCGCAGGGTGCCGATTTTAACGGCTTCCAGCAGTTCCCGCCTTTCCAGGCCTCGCAGCCCGAGCAGCCCACCATCCAGCCCGCTATTCAGGTTGGTTAAAGAACCCCCTCCCGCCTTTCCCCTCCTCTCATCACCGCGCCACTTCCCCGAGCTCTTTTCGTCATGTTTGCCGAGGAAATAACGCGGGGTTGTTTGCGCAGGTGTCATCGCAGTCGTTCTCGGCCGTGGCCCCCCAGCAGGCGCCGCCCCTGGTCCAGCAGCCCCAGCAGCAGCAGATCAACTCGAGGCCGCACAGGCACGAGCCGTTCGGCTCCACCGCCAACTTCGGCTTCAACAACTTCGACCAGAGCAGGAACCTGTTCTTCAACAACCACCACCAGCAGCTGCAGCCGCACACGCAGCGGCAGCGGGGCCTGGACGGCCAGCTGCAGACGCTGCTGCACCAGTCGGGCATCTCGGCGCCGCAGGAGGACCTGAACATCGTGTCCAAGGTGCTGGCGCTCAACCCTGAGCGGCCCGACCAGCTCGTCGGGCTGTTCTAGACGCACGCGCCCCTCGGCCCGGCCGCGGCGGGGCCCGGCGGAGCCAGGCGGAGCCCCAGCACAGAATGTCCCGGTTGCCCTCTGCTTTAGTAATTATTTTCGCGAGATGGTAATTATCGCGCACGTCCCGACCCTCCACAGCCGTACAAAATGCAACTCGGGAATTTTATGCTTGGGTTCCCAGCCGCGGGTTGCCCCGCCTCGTGCCGGCCAGGGTCCCGTGAAACTGAAACGCCATTATGCTCAAACTCCACCGAGGCGGAAACAACTTCTTCTCCTCCTCCGTCCTGTTTGTCCCCCGCCCGCCCTATTTCAAATTCGCACACAAAGCAACTGTCGCAAAGGGCTCCGGGCCTCGCGGTGCCACGCCTCGGCGCTGCTCCGACTTGAGGGGACTACCTAAAAGTTTGTCAATAACCCAACCTTGAGCCGTCACCGCCCATAACTAACCGAGCGGAGGTGACCGACAACGCGTCGATGAAAGGCGCGGCCCAACTTATTTCCTCCCGACGGTACCTTTGACGAGAAATGAAGTTGCCGACTAAATTAATCACCACCGCCACTTTCTTGTGAAGTTGTTTCCGCCTCGTTGTGTAAACTTCGTGCGCCGCGCCGCCCCTTCTATTTATATCGTGACTATCTCTCAGCGCCGCTCATACGATACGATGAGTGCGTGCAATTAAGCCGAGTCCAGCCTGGTGACCAGTTTAGTTTGATCAAACAACCTCCCCCTTCAAAAGTTGGTTTGAAATTATGTATTCCTAAAGAACACACACGAATGACCTTTTTTTGCGATCTTACACAAACCAAAATTTCTCATCGATTCCAAAATTCTAGTTTGATCTACTTTGTACCCAATGATAAGTTGACTGGGTATGTACGCTGCTCGCTGGTTTAAATGTGTGGCTGTTTATCAGTTTAAACAAAAAACTCGTGTCAGACAAAACCTGTGACAACAACCTTTTCAAGAACGAAGTACTTTGCCATCGTGTTTTCACTACATTTTTTGTCAGGTTATTTGAATAAGATTTGACAAAAGTGGTTGTCGGATCGTTATTGTAAGTCTGTATATATTTATTTATTGCAAACGATTTAACGCGGGAATTAACGCATCTACTGTTGACCCTTCTTCGACGGGCACTTTTCTTCAGTAGTCTGCAGATTAATTGCGGAGCGAGCGAGAGAGGAGCTGACGGTATTGTTTAAAGCAAACCCAGGCAGCGCCGTGAGAAAATGAGCGTTTGATTTCTACTCTCTCCGCCTTCCTTTTGCACTCAACGTTATTTTAATTTTCCCTCTACGGACGCAAACTCGTTTTTCATCGCGCCCAAAGTCTTTTAAAATAACACTAGCGCCATTTCAAAGAGTAGAAACCCTCCCTGTGCACAAACTCGTCGTTATGCGCCTCGCGCCTCCGCTTCACGTGGCACCTTTGAACTAAATTTATCGTCATGCAACAGAGGAAAGGGAGATGGAATGGAGACAAGGAGGAAGGCAGTGAGAGAGAGAGAGGATGACGGCAAGTTTTTGCCTGCTGCCCCCGTACTATCATCTGACCACCACAGCGAGAAAGGAGAGGAAGGAGGGGGGGG